ACATAATAGTTCTCCACTGCAAGAACGAATACCTGTGAGTGTCTCCTGCTGTACAAAGACAGCCAGAGAACAAGCATGGGCTCTGCCAACACCTTAGAGGGGGCTACAGTTGATGCTGTCACACACGAGTGGCACCAACAGAACAGGGGAGATGACATTTGCACACCGTTTCTCATCCTTATAAACTCCCCCTTGAGATGGAAATCCACTCACTGTTGTAGCCACTGCTGCTGCTAGCCTCTGCCGGCGCCGAGTTGTGCTGAACTGGCCCTTCGCAGGTGGCCCTTCCTGACAGTGAATGGGAGAAGAGAAGGGAGGAGAAAACATGGGACGGGGAAGGGAGAGGATGGGACACGGGAGGATGAAAGATAATCAGACAAGGGAGCAGGAGAGTTTTTAACTAAAGTTGACTTTTCCTAAGTCTTAGCATTGAAAAGGGATTGAAAGGGCATTCATGCTGTAAGAATAGCTCACCATTCTCACCATGGAACCCCTAAACACTTAAGTCTATTTGCTGAATATACCTCTCATCCCAGAAGGACCTGGAGGGTTAAGAACTGATGAACAGCTTGCGATTTTAAAATAAATGTGCATACTGTTTTTATTGCTGCAATCTCATATGAAGTCAGAAGGCTTCAATAAGTGGTAGCAAAGAAAAAATAAGTTTAGGTAAAGCTGATAAAATAATTAATGTGGGAAGGCTAAAATGAGAGCCTATTGTTGGCCAGGAAGTATTTTGCTGCTGGTTGCTGGGAGGAAAAAAGTAAGTGAAAGGGCATCAGAAATTGCCCAGTCCCTACTTCTTCTCCTACTGGGAAGTCTGCTAGGATTCAGCATTAGGAGTCAAGTTGAAGTTGGGGTTTTCAGGCTAAAGAATTTTCTCAGGAAGAAGCACAGAAAATAATTTCAAGTCATCCAATGTGTTGCAACAATTAATGCCTACAAAAATCAGCTATGGAAAGCGGAAGCATAGGTTTCATTTATGGATGTGCCCCTACGTATAAACATATAGGAGGATCCTAGAGCCTCCTCTCATTTTTTTTCTTCCTTTTTTGATTGATGACATTAAGAGATAATGATATTTTCTTCTAACTACTGAACTCTGCCTCCATCTGACAGACCTGATTCTTCAAGGTCGTGAGCAATAATTTCACTTTTATTTGAGATGTACTTTCTTAAGAGGCACCTATCAGATCAGACTGAGAGAAAACAGTATGACTTCTTTAGTCCTTTTGGAATGACAGAAAGTATTTTTGAGTTCCTGTATCTCCAATTCTCTTGATATTTTACAAATTACATTCACATTTCTTTTCATATTCACAAATCTTTTGCATACCTCTGGTTTAATACACACAGACACAGGCACACACACACAATCTGTTTTCCACAAAAAGTGCCCTTTATGCTTAATGTAGTGAAAGAAGGAAAAACTTATTTTTATCCTTCAGTGGAATTTGAGCATCTGTGAGATCTAGGGCAGCTATACATGAATGGCATCAGATATGCTCCTATGTACTTCCTACTATTCCTATCCTCTCCAACATCTAGGGGTCAAGTATTTAATGTATGCTAATAGCAACACAGAAGATCTAGCAGCTCTTTCTTCTACAGCAACTCCTTTTTAAATCATTCCCTCCTTGCTCCCCTCTACCCATTTAAGCCACAGCCAAACTTATGTCATAATGATGATGTTGAGATTTCCATTAGGGCAAGAAAATTTTAAGTTTGGAAGATAGGAAATCCTTTTTCTAAAAGGTAATCCCCACACAGCCTTCTAGAACAAATGTTGCCTTCAATGAGTAACACACTGGGTGGGTTCCTGAGGCCAACCTCCCAATGGCTTCCAGCAGAAATATGACCATACAGGCCCAGAATTTAACTCTTGCATTAAAATCAGTAGCACATTCTAGTATGTGCAAAAATAAGCAATTAAATATCTAGTAAAATATGTCTTCACTTTTACTTTTCTGAGATCAATTTTTTAAATGATCTATTTTGTAGTTATTTCAAAATGACTACTACTATGGAATGTTCAAAGCAAAGTTCAGTGAAACATTAACAACAACAATAGTAGTAACAATAACAAACACAACTAAATAGTCTAGGTTCCCTCACATATGGCTGGTATGATAGAAGTTACAATTGTTGTTGTTGTTAGTTGCTGTGGAGTCGATTCTGACTCATGGCAACCTCATGTGTTGCAGAGTAGAACTCTTTTATAGGGTTTTCAAGACGGTGACCTTTCAGAAGCAGATCGCCAAGTCTGTCTTCCGAGATGCCTCTGGGTGGGTTCGAACTGCCAACCTTTTGGCTAGCAGTTGAGCTCTTAACTGTTGGTGCCACCCAGGGACTCCTAAAGTTGTAATACATAGGATGAGAAATGAGCTACTCACTACAAAGCCCCTCAAATTGGCTGAGACAATGAATATTAGAGAAGATGGTTCAAGTAATAAGATGATTATGAGCTCAAAACAAATACTTGGCGCCATTAGAATGGATTCCACGTAATGGTTTGAAGAAGACTGGAGGGACCCCAGAAGACATGGCCCCTAGACTCTAGTTAGCCCAAAACTAAAACCATTCCTAAGGCCAACTCTTCAGACAAAGATTAGACTGGATTATAGGACATAAAATGATACTCGTGAAGAGTGTGCTTCTTAGCTCAAGTAGATACATAAGACTAAATGGTCAGCTCCTATCTGAAGGAGAGATGAGAAGGCAGACAGGGTCAGGAGCTGGTTGAATGATCATGGGAAATCAGGGGTGGAAAGTAGGAGTGTGCTGTCAAAGTATAGACAGAGCAACAAGGGTCAAATAACAATGTACGTATAAATTTTTGTATGAGAGACTAACCGAATTGTAAACTTTCACTTAAACCACAACAATTAGAAAAAAAAAGAATGCATTCCACAGTCACGAAACATTTAAAATGGGGGGGGTAGGGTGGGGAGACAACTATGTGTTAGAGTGGGAGAAGGCGATGGGCATGTTTTAGCCCACTACAGTAAAGATAAATGCTATGTCTTTCTGTAGGCAAAATACTGATGAGAAATGATATTCAATGTTGGTCACAGTCACACTTGAATGAACTTATGATTTCCCAGCCAAGCGTACACACTGAAGAAACTTCCGAGTAACTTCTGAGTAATTGAGCATGAGCATCCTAAGAACTCCTGGAAGGTCTATTGGCTTCCATGGGCAGAAAAGGTCCAGGGATGTACCAAGTTCTGTAGCACTCACTCCTATGATACCTTTTGTTTTACTAGTACATGTGAAAATGGGGTTTCTCTGGGAGTGATTAACAGCTCACTGCCACCCATAAGTCTATCTATTTCTACCTGGGAGTTGGAACTGAATTGCCCATGTTTTAAGGGGCAAAAGTTTTCTTTTGGCCTGGAGATGAGATCATTTCAATTTCCTTTAAAAATAACTAGAATCAGAAGGGCCATCTTGTTACTCTTTGGCAAAACGAAAACAGAGCAAAACAGCATGAATAAAAATGTAAAAACAAATAAACCACCCAAAGATGTGGCAGGAATATAAATGAGGAGTATTTTCCTGCTTTTTAAGCGATTTCGATGACTCATAAGAAGCCTGTGACTAGGAGGAATATTCACGGTTGCATTCTGTTCCCCCTTCAGAAAAAAAACTGAGCCATGTGGGTATTATAGTGGGCCTCATAGCTGCAGCAGGAAGGCCAGGGGCACTACACTCAGACTCACTGAGAATCAACCTATTCAAGACAACAGCTGTGAACGAGACAGCTATTCCACAGCAAACCTTGTAAACATAAGACTGAAATAATATTTATCCACAACTGTATACGTTCATATGTTAGCCTTCTCAATTATTTTATTTATAATGGTTCTTTTTTTTCCCCTGGCTATGATAACCATAGATACCATGCCTAAAAAAACAAAACAAAACAAACTAGACAATCACAAGCTCAAAACAAACAAAACTGCCAAAAGCAATTTTAGGTAATTTTTTGTGTGAATAATTTGGCACATTTGTCTCTACAGTACTAATTTTATGAACAGAATGGAAAACACACAAAAACATAATGAACAAAGAAACAAAAAATTGTGTTCATAGAATATGGACATTTTAAATAAAAAAAAAATGGCTCTTTCGTGTTTATGAAGGTTTATTTTCAAATACATTAGATAAGCAAGCAAAGCAACAAGAGTTTGTTATTGACACATTCAGAATTACAATATAAAGAATGTTATCAATGTAGTCAGAATTAGAGAAGGATTATTTTGTTACTCACAAGATACAGAAGAAAGTTGAAAAGCAGTTCTTTTTGTATTAGAATATAAATTGATTTATAGTATAATAAAAAGAAAAGCAAAATCATAAGGGTCCATTATAATACCAAGCTAGTATGACAGTAGTGGAGATTCTAGTTTAAAGATCTGAAAGTAATATTTATGACATAAGAGGTTTTAGGCATTTACCCTATTTCATATCATTGTAATACAATAACATAATAGGGTCTTATTTTAAAAATTTAAAACTACACATTTCAAATATATAATTTATTTCAAATAACTTTCAAGTGACTTTATCATGAAACGTTAAGACTTTAGTTCAAATTTTAAAAGTGACTGTTGATGGCCAGATAATATCTATTTTTGAAGAATCACAGAATTTTAGAGCTGAAAGGAAATTCAGAGATCATCAAGTTAACTCCATCACTTAACCCAGAAGCAAATGGAAGCCCAGAAAATTTAACTGCAATGCATGAAATTATACTGTGTGGAAATCACAGTGATGACTAGAAACCTCGGTTTGTTGATTTCTAGTCTAGAGCGCCCCCACCCCTTTTCTTGAAAGATAAAAGTTTGGACAAAGCTAATTATTAAACTCAGTTTGAATAGCACTGGCTTTAAAGCAGTTAAGCTGCTCTCTCAATAGGAACTCCCATTAACTGATATATATTGGCTAATATTTTAAAAGGATATAAAATATGAATGAAGGAAAGGAAAAGTCTGTACCTGCAGTTGTATTTTTGTATCTTTGCTGACGCTTTTTGTTCTCCATCGTCTTGTGACCCGCTTGTCTTTCTTTGAAATATCTACACAGTTAGCCTACATTACACAAATAGTTAAAAGCAACAAAGTACTGTTAAGTTCACACAAATGATACCAATACAGACAGAGAGAGCACAGCAAGTTAGCAAAGATAATTGTTAGACACCTATAAGCAAACCAGCCAGGAAAGAATGGTATGTCTGATGCACAGTGGGCATTCAAAGCACAGGCAAGAACTTAATTACAAAATGTACTTTTCTGATATACAAAATGGAAATAGTATTAGAGAATTTTAGCATTTTTTTTCCTATGGGGAAGGATCGTAATAATTCTGGATATCTCAATGATATCATTTAAGTTGTCATTTCTAATGTAACACAAAAATGGAAGAATAATTCAGATATTTATTACTTCTAGTTTGTATTTTAATGTAAAACATTTTAAAATAGTCAAATTAATTAACCCAATGACCAAGATTTAAAAATATTAATAACTCCAGAATATAAACTAGTCTGTACTATAGCTATTTCCCTTTAAACACTACCTTATGTATTCATAGAAAAATCCAGTAAAAATTATGAGATCGTATCTTAAATCCTTCAACCAGCAGCAGTAATATGTTTACCTGCATGTCAGTAAAGTTAGGTGCTGACTGAGTTCTCTGCAGTATTTCCAAATTTTGAAGGAGTTTGCTAAGTTCCACAAGGTTTGACTGGCAGTGTGCAAGGTCTAATAAAAATCAGAAATAAAAATGTGTTAGTACGGGGCGGTGGGGGGGGAGTGGTGGTGGTAGAAGTGGTAATAAAAAGGAGTCAATCCAAATTATGGTAAATATAAGTAGGTGAATCTGTATTTTTATAATGATATTGGCAAATGAAACCAAACAGACCCTTTTTCTGGTTTAAAATTATAAGACCATTGATTATTCAAGATAATTTCAAAGTCCACCCTTACCAATTACCAGCTATTAGTATAGAGAGCCATTAAAATCTAAATCAAATCGTGTATGCTCACTTTCCTGCTGGGAAGGCCCTAGTCACATGAGAAGCACACTCAAGGGACCTTCAGCAACCCTGGTTCTATCCTTAGGAACCTGCTCACCTGCTCCTACTAAAATGGAACTTGGGTGGAGTTGAAAGACAAGTTCAGAAAACACGATGAACACAAAATCAGATAAACATTCATACATAATTTAGCTCGCTAACAATAGTACAATGAATTATTTCTTTAAAATCTATTGGAGACATTTCATTAAGCCAAAGATTCTTGAAGTGTGGTCTCCCGTTCAGCAACATCAGCATCATTTGGGAACTTGTCAGAGAAGAATCTCAGAAACCACCTCAGACCTGCTGAATCAGAAACGATGGGGTAGGGCCCAGCACCTTGTGTTTTAGTCAACTCCCCGTGCTAAACTTTGCCCTAAATAATTTGTGATTACAGTGACGTTATTATTCTGTCACATTTAAAGAAGCAGTATATAACTCATCCCCTTTCAGAGAATCATTCTACCTTAGATAACATACATATAAGCTAAACCAAAAAAGAGATGGTTTGAGTGGATTAGAGTTGTTGACAACTAAATTACATTAATTTGAAAAACATTGTTTTTTGACTAATTATATATTTTAATTACCTAACAAAACAGTCAGACTGGTGGAATTTCTAAAATATATTATTCCTGAATTAACATCCATTAGAGAGTAAATTAAAAGAGAAAAAGACAATATATTATTGTGTTTGATGTTTTCACACGTCATTTAATTTCAATTTTTTATCAGTGAAAATGGTCCTCGGTAGGTCCTTATGTGCCTAGATCCTGCCTGAAGTTAGAATTGACAAAGATGAAATTTCTCTGAAAGGTTATTAGCCTTAGTGTATACGTATGATAATTCTGTGGCTGGCAGAATTAAAACCTCTAGTCTACTTACCTGTTCTCACCTCCTACTGTGTAAAATTAGTCAAATTATATAAATCTCAGAAATGAAGGAATAGTTTAAGACGACTGCAGTGGGCATCCAAATCATTCTGTCTGAATGAACATTTAGGATGAAAAAAATATTTTTAATTTAATTTTTATTCTTCTGGTGTATTTGGAAGAAGTGAGACTTTTTAAAGATCTGCATAATAAAATAAGATGTCACCCTTTAGAAAAAATTGACCTTTTAGTATGTGAAATTAAACATAGTAAAGAATACTAAGTTATTAGCATTAATTACTCCACATTAAACATTTAGAACATGCCTTCCAGGCATGTGATTACTTTTGCACGTGTACTCTTATGAACAGACTGCAACAGGGCAGGCCTATAAATCTATGCTAAATTATAAAGTGGTTGTTCTTATCTTTGAGGCCTCTGGGTAAAAATTTCATTTTTATTACCCTTGCTTGTTATTAAATCTTAAAGATCTGAATTGTTACCTATATTGTATAGCCAGCAAAACATGGCTGTTAAACATGGCTAAAGATTAAGTAAGGTCAATAAATATAGGTAGTTGTGTTTGGGGGCTTTTGTATATTTTTTTTTGTGGTGTTTTTTTAAACATTTCATAACTTTACTAACTGCTTCATCTTAGAGAAAAGACATATAAATTCATATATCAGTAGCTAAAAAGCCTACATAACTTCATTTTCTATCAAATAAAAGGCAATATTTTGTCCCATGTATGGAAAAATACAAAAAAAGATTCACAGATAGGCATTGTAATTGTTACAATAAAAAAAACAGAGAATGAATAAAGAGGTTAACTGCTACGAGGACTCTTATACATAAGTCCCTCCTCTCAGCAGCTATGACTCATGACAGAGCCCTGGTGTCCAACTGCCACTGCAGTTCTTCCAGGAAATGCTTCGTCATCAATGGTCTTTGGATTCCTTCATGGAGAAAATCGTCTGAAGGAGGTGCAGGAGGAAGACAGTATTGACAAGACAATGGAGCAGCTCTCTGCCACCCCTTCCTGGCTTTCGATGAAAATAAGTTAAGGTGAACTGTGTCCCCCCAAAATATGTGTCGTAAATCCTAACCGCTGTAGTGGTTATAATCCCATTTGCGAATGGAGTTTCTTTGTTATGTTAATGAGGCAGTATTAGTGTAGAGTGTGTCTTAAATCAATCTCTTCTGAAATACGCAAGAGCAGGTGAAGCAAGCAAGCGCAGTTTGAGGGAAGACAGATGTCATGCTACATGAGATCTCCAAGAAACCAAGGAACAGAAGCTTAAGAGATAAGGACCTTCCCCCAGAGTGAACAGAGAAAGCTTTTCCCTAGAGCTGGTGCCCTCAATTCAGATTTCTAGCCTCATAAACAGTGAGAAAATAAATCTCCATTTTTTTAACCTTCCCACTTGTATATTTCTGTTATAGCGGCACTAGATAACAAAGACAGTGGCTCAGAAGGCAAGGAAATTCAGAAGATAAAAGGGAGAGAAAGAGGGAGAAAAGTTGTGCAAAGAAGGGAAAGGGAGTAGATGGAAGAGGTTGTTGTTAAAAAAAAAAAACAAGAAAAACCTGGCCTGACAGAGACTGGAGAAATACCGAGAGTATGGCCCCCGGACACCCTTTTAGCTCAGTAATGAAGTCACTTCTGAGCTTCACCCTTTAGCCAAAGATTAGACAGGCCCATAAAACAAAACGAGACTTAAAGGGGCACACCAGCCCAGGGCAAGGATGAGAAGGCAGCGGGGGGACAGGAAAGCTGGTAATAGGGAACCCAAGGTCGAGGAGGGAGTGTTGACATGTCGTGGGGTTGGTAACCAAGATCACAAAACAATATGTGTACTAACTGTTCAATGAAAAGCTAGTTTGTTCTGTAAACCTTCATCTAAAGTACAATTTAAAAAAAAAACAAAACTCGAAACCTGTTGCTGTCAAGTAGATTCCGACTCATAGCAACACTACAGGACAGAGTAGAATTGCCCCATAGAGTTTCCAAGGAGCGGCTGGTAGATTTGAACTGCCAACCTTTCGGTTAGCAGCCAAACGCTAAACCACTGTGCCACCAGGGCCCCAGTTGTTTTTGTTAGGTGATGTCAAGCTGATTTTGACTCATAGTGACCCCATGTGACAGAGCAGAACTGCCCCATAGGGTTTTCTTGACAGTAATCTTTACGAAAACAGATTGCCAGGTTGCCTACCTTTGGTTAGCAGCCATGTGCCCAGCCGTTTGCACCACCAGGGACTCCTCAGACAAAATACGAGAAGGGAAACGGATAGAAAAGGACCTAAGTTCTAACATACATTTCAAAGAGCAAAACCACATGGTAAGCACTGTGCTGGTAGGGACTTTAACATTATCTTTGTTATCATCCACTGAACCTTCTACACAGTATATATTGTATTTATGTTGTTGCTGTTGACTGCTGCTGTCAAGTCGACTCTGACTCATGATAACCTTATGTACAACAGAATAAAGTGTTGCCCGGTCCTGAGATATCCTCACAATTGCTAGCATGTTTGACTTCATCATTGCAGGTAGTCCCAACATATCTCACCGAGGGCCTTTTATGCTCTTGCTGGCCCCCTACTTCGTCAAACATATCCTCCTCTAGTGATTGATCCCTGCTGATGACATGTCCAAAACAAGCGAGTTGGACAATGCTCTGCTGTGATCCATAAGATTTTCATTGGCTAATTTTCGGAAGTAGACTGCCAGGCCTTTTTTCCTCATCTACTTAGTCTAGAAAATCTGCTGAAACCTATCCACCATGGGTGACCCTGCTGGTATTTGAAATACTGGTGTCATAGCTTCCAGCATCATAGCAACAAACAAGTCACCACAGTATGACAAACATACATTCATATGTCTTAATAACTGTGATTATTCTACACAAATGGTGCTTTGTATGCACTACGTTGTTGCTGTTGAGTCAATTCTGACGATAGAAATCTGGAAATAGGCTTAATATGATCAAAATTTCAACCTTTCTTCTAGCAGAGTGGAAGGAGAACTTTGTGAGTGAACTTAATTCAAGGCAAAGGACCCAAAACTAAGTCAGGAGACATCAATTTACATCTTGGGCCACAGTTTCCTCATCTGTCAAGTGATGACATTAACACTGACCTTACCTACCCTCTTAATTTAAAAGTAGCAACTGAGATAGTAGATGAGAAAGTTCTATGAAAATCAGAAATAGTCTTTAAGTAGTACTGATCCTACTATGTCTAACTGCACTGACGGAGTCTTAACGTGGAACAGGCCATACCATTCCTCACCACTTTCATCATATAAAATATGGAAGTAATAAAGTCCTTGGCAGGATTTTACTGGTTGCCTAAGTGCCTGGCTGTATATAAGGATGTTAAAGATTTACTCAAGAAAATAAAAATATCTTTAAAAAAAATTTCTGGAATTTCATTAAATAAGATTAAATCTAATTTTAGAATCTGAACAAAAGCAAAAATTATGCCAAGGAAGGCCTACCTAGACTTTTTCTATAATAGTTAAAAATTAGAAACTTAAATATCAAACAGTTTACTTAATTTCTTATCATGCCCTGCCTTGTTCCAAAAAGAAATATGTCGTTCAGCTGTGGGATGGTTAAATAAATTACAGTACATCCATAGTCATTCATTCATTTAAGTACTATTGCTTCGGAAGACACTGTGCACCCATACAGTTTTTTAAGCACAGGGACTACAACCATCAGATAATATTCGTGGAGTCAACATTCTGGTGAGAGAGAAAAAAAAAATCGTGACGTATGCAATAAACAATCTGTATGTTGAACTATTATGT